CTAAAAAACCTAAGACCACAGCATCAGTATCCACTACTGATAACGTTGAGGAGTCAAATCATAAAATCGAGGAATTTACCATTAACTCGCCAGAAGAAAGTGTAGTTGCCCTTTCCAAAATTGGGAAGGCGCCGATTGAAAGGGCTGTCAAAACCGGCCCCGACAAGGACACTAAAACACCTAAGACAGTACCCAAAGCATCATTAGCAAGTACTAGCAATGTTGAGGAGTCAAATCCTAAAAGCGAGGAGGAAATCACTCACCCGCCAGAAGACAGAACAGCAATGCTCTCCAGAAGAGTCTATTAAAAATACTGCTATTCCTATGCCTGATAAGGACACCGCAGTGCCATCAACAGTACTCACTGCATTAATAGCCACTTCAGGCTATCCGGAGGAGTCAAATCCAAAGAGCGAGGAGGTGACCACCAACTCGCTGGAAGACAGTTTAATGGATGACCATGATTGAGGTTATCCAAATAAACCTCCATCGGAGCGAGACAGCTACCAACGCTCTGATGGCTAAAATCAACACAGGTAAAATACATATAGCTTTAATCCAGGAACCTTGGACGATTCGCAACAAGGTTTCTGGATTAAATCACGTAAATTTCCAACTTTTCTACGCTGATACAGGATCTCGCCCGAGAACATGTATCTTATGTCACAAGAACTTATGTTTTCTCCTCTCAACAGGATTATCAACATCGGATGCAACGGTGCTGAAGCAAGGTCGTGGCAACATATTCCTTGCATCTATTTACCTGCCTTTCGATTCTCCGACACTACCACCAACGTCGGATCTGATGAAACTGGTTGAAGAGGCACAAAGGAAAAATAAGAAAATTGTAATAGGTTGTGATGCCAACTCGCATCATGTAGCTTGGGGTAGTACAAACACCAATCGCAGGGGACAAGCCCTCATGGATTTCTTTAATACTAAAGACTTGATAACATTGAACTTAGGTAATAAAGCTACCTTCGTCAATAGAATCAGAGAAGAAGTATTAGATATAACTATATGTTCAGAAGAGCTTATAAACGAAATTCAGGATTGGAGAGTTTCGGACGAGCACTCCTTTTCTGATCATCGGTACATAAGATTCAAAATACTAAGGCCACCACCAAAGCCGATAAAGTTTCGGAATAAGTCTAAAACTAATTGGACAATGTTCGGGACCTTACTAAAGAACCGTTTATGTCAGGACACTTTTCAATGTCGAAATAAAGAGGATATAGATGCCAAAGTGGAAACGTTCACAAGTGCCCTGGTTGAATCGTTCGAGGACAGCTGCCCTCTGCGAGAGCGGAGATCTGCCCAGGAAAAACCCTGGGTAACTGGGGAGATCCGGAACCTTGGGAAGACTCTTCGCAAACTATTTAACCGGGCACGGCGTAAAAAGACCGCAGTATACTGGGATGAGTATCGTAATAAACTTGGTGAATATAAGAAAATCGTTCGAAAAGCCAAACGAGACTCCTGGAAACTTTTCTGTGAACAGGTAGATAGCGTAAATGACGTATCGAAGATAAAAAAATTCCTATCCAAAACTCATGTCCAACCGGAATCTATGATCGATGACACGGGCAGGAGGCTTGAGGATATGGAGGAAACAATGAAACTCCTAATGGATTCTCATTTCCCACCCGGTATATCGAATAACATAGATGAACCGATATTGGAGGAAGGGGAGGGTAACACGGAATTAGTTATTACAACTGACATGGTTAAAGGGGCAATCAAGAGCTTTGCTCCCTATAAAGCTGCAGGGCCGGATGGAATTTTCCCGGCACTTTTGCAGATGGAGGCGGGACTGGTTTCCGTACATCTGTCACAGATATTCACTGCATGCTTAAAATTGGCATATACCCCAGTTAAATGGCAGGATGCAAGGGTAATATTTATACCCAAACCAGGGAAACCTAGCTATGCGACACCTAAGTCCTATCGACCGATAAGTGTTACGTCCTTCCTACTTAAAACCTTGGAACGGATAGTCGATAGCATGGTTAAAAGCAGCATACCATACAATGACCTTAAATATAAGCAGCATGCTTATGTAAAGGGACGATCGGTGGAAACCGCTTTAAATGAAGTTGTCCACTACATAGGTGAATCTTTCGATAGCAAACTGTATACACTGGCAGTATGCATTGACATCGAAGGCGCTTTCAATAACGTGCATACTGATACCCTTATCCAATCCCTAGACCAGTTTTATGTTGACCGGGTGCTCCGTAACTGGATCAACTACATGTTAAGGAACAGATGGATAAGCTGCGAGATGTACGATATAACTATCAGGAAAAAGGTATTTCGCGGTATACCACAGGGTGGCATTTTGTCACCTTTACTCTGGGTCACCACGATTAATAGCCTCCTAAGGACCCTAACCGATAAAGGACTTAGACCTGTCTGCTATGCAGACGATGTCGTAATACTTTTAAAAGGAAAGGATCCAAATTGCTTGTGTAGAAGAGCTGAGGAGGCTCTGAATACGGCCTTGAGCTGGGCTCAACCGAGAGGCCTCAATGTTAACACGGCGAAGACGGAAATCTGTCTTTTCACAAGAAAGACAAAAATTTCTACATATACTGAACCTTGCTTCTTCGGCAAGAAGATACCGGTGACAGACAAAGTTAAGTACTTAGGTGTAATACTTGACCGGAAATTAAAATGGAGACACCACATAGAGGATAGGATCAACAAGGCACATCGGTGCTGGGCGATATGTAGGAGAACCATAGGCATGAAATGGGGTCTTAGTCCTACTATGACAAATTGGCTTTATAAAAGTGTAATTAGACCAATTCTAGCTTATGCTTCAATAATCTGGTGGACTGCTTTGGACAAAAAGTGTAATATCAAACTACTACAGGGAGTTCAGCGTACATGCTGCTTGGGTATAAGTGGTGCCATGTGTACTACTTCAACCAAGGCTCTGGAAACGTTGCTAGACATTCCACCCATTGAAACATATATAAGATATGAGGCGGCGCTTACAGCCGAACGGCTCTTTACTTTAGGCGAACTGGCCAAAAACGGTTATAGGACACATCATCAATGTATACTGGACACATTGGAAGGTTATACACATTCATCGGACGTGCCTGATCGCATACCAGACACTGAATATGTCGGAAACTTTGAAACGCTAATCCCAGATAGAATGTCTTGGTCAAGCGGAACATTAGAGCAAATACCAGTAGGAATCCGTTGGTACACGGATGGCTCTAAATTAGGGGACAAAGTGGGTCTGGGGTTCTATATTGAAGACCCAGAAACAGAAATATACCACCGTTTACCTAATCATAACACAAGCTTCCAGGCAGAAGTACGAGCAATAACGGAATGTGTAAATTGGATTAGAATAAATATGGCGCCCACAGGGCTTAATATATTTACCGACAGCCAGAAGGCAATTTGTGCGATATCAGGTGATAGAATTAAATCTAAGACCGTATTGGATTGTAAGAAAGCTTTAACTGAATACTCTCCCAGAGGTAAGGTTCACATCATATGGGTACCAGGCCACTCGGGAGTAATCGGCAACGAAAGGGCGAATGTAATAGCTTTAAAGGGAAGGGAGCTCGATGTAGTTAACCTGACAAACGCAAAACCATTCGACGCAACAAAAGCTGAATTAAAAATATGGATGAGAGAATCCCATAAGGCCTCTTGGAATAATGACACGGTGGGTAGAACCACAAAGATTCTATGGGGTGACCCTGATGAGAGCAAGACGAGAAATCTTCTCAAAATGAGCAAGTCTGAGGTTAGTATGATGGTACGTATTCTCAGTGGACACACAGGATTACGAGCACATCTATACAAAATTGGACGTGCGAATTCAGACGAATGTAGAGCATGTGGAGAGGACAGTGAAACTCTGGAGCACTTTCTTTGCCATTGTCAGGCATTCGTCGAAGTTAGATCCAAGTATCTTGGAAGTGTTGTTATTCCGGATATAACATTCTTAACCAACACCGATTGGAAGATTCTTAGGAATTACGTCCAGGAAACTGAGTTTCTGAACATGGAAAAATAATACATTCAGTGAACAATTTTTTTTTTTTTTTCTTGAATTGGAGCGCACAACAGGCCCGATAGTGGCCTAGGTGTATTTCTTCGGATTTGATGTAGTATACATCCTCCTATCAACCTAACCTAACCTAAGCGAAAAAAAAATGGCGAAAATCGGGAATATTTGGACCCGCTATTATCAAAAAAACTAAAGTAAGGACGGTAAAAATTTTAAAATTTTAATTTTCAAATGCGAATATCTCCTAAACTATAATAGATAATTTACTGCTACGACGACATTTTTTATAGTGCTCGATGAGGAGATTCTATATACGAAATTTTTTAAATCGGAACTCAAATGAAGAAATAGGATCGTTTTAAAAATTTAACATAGCCGAGGTCGTACATTGCATTATTAAATTAGAGCATATTGTCATTTCGTTCTCTGTTATAGAGTTAATTAGACGTGTGAAAAAGATCTGAAGATATTGGCTGATTATTCCTTTCCGTATCCTAGTCAGAATTATAATAAAAATCTTATGTACGTGGAGTCTTAATAGTATATTTTTAATCTTTTTAGTATTTTTTTAATTTATTCCTTTAAAAATAACAGCTTTAACTTTTTCTTGGTTTTGGACATAGTATGGTATTTGTAGTTCATTATAAAACATGTTAAACGTATAAATATATACATATTTTCCATGCAATTTTAAACAATTTAATTTTAAAATTAATCATTGGAAATGTTTTTTTAAACACTAAAAATTTAAATTTACACGATGATGGAATGTTGCTAAACATTTTTAAACACATAAAAGAGTAAAAATACATTGTATCTAGGATTTTTACATACAATGTGTTTAAAAATTTTGAATGTTTTTGAAAATGTATATTTACACTAATTATACTAGGAGTCTGGTTACCTACAATAAATAGTGTAAATTTTAACAAAAATTTATAAGAGTGTATAGGATTACCTGAACTCTAGCTTCGCTTAGACCAAGTCGATGACTCAGCTCTTCTCTCATAAATGCGTCTGGGTAATGTGTTTCTTCAAATAATCGTTCAAGTTCATTAAGCTGGTCTAAAGTAAAATTCGTACGAGACCTTCTCTGCTTATTATTGTTTAATGAGATTGTCGTTCCTAATTTATCGCCAATAATATTAGATGTCTCCAAAGAATTGAAATATTTTTCATCTGCACTGTTAGGAGTGGAACAATCAACACGATCTTCGAATTCTGTCGAACTATTCGAAATTGAATATTCTGAAATAATATAAATATTAATTTTAAATCTAAATATAATAATAGATAATAATAATAATAATAATAATAATAATAATAATAATAATAATAATAATAATAATAATAATAATAATAATAATAATAATAATAATAATAATAATAATAATAATAATAATAATAATAATAATAATAATAATAATAATCATCATCATAATAATAATAGTAATAATAATAATAATAGTAGTAGTAATAGTAATAATAACAAGTAAGAGTGTTATATTCGGCTATGCAGAATCTTATATAGCCACTATCAACCTCGTTTGACTCGAATGAAACTTACTTATGTCGAATTTCATATATATACTCGTATTTTTAGGCCAGTTATAAGCGTTAAAGTAATTTTCTGAAGTGCACCTTATATAGGGGGGTAGGGTCAATTATGGGTCGATCCTCATAAAATTTGGTAGACAGAGTTTGGTTCGTATTAAATTTATTTGTGTCGAATTTCATCGCTACACTCCTATTTTTAAGCCATTAATGAGCGTTTCAGTCATTTTCTGAAGGGGACCTTATATGGGGGGTAGGGTCAATCATGGACCGATCCTCATAAAATTTTTTAGATAGATTTTGACTCGTATGAAACTTACTTATGTCGAATTTTATCTATATACTAGTATTTTTAAGCCAGTAATGAGCGTTAAAGTCATTTTTTGAAGGGGACCTTATATGGGGGGTAGGGTCAATTATGGACCGATCCTCATAAAATTTTGGATAGTGATTTTGGATCATAAGAATTTCATCGCTATATTCGTATTTTTAAACAAGTTATGGCTGTTAAAGCTGCTTTTCGAGGGGCCACTTGTATGGGGGCTATCCGAAAACGTGAACCGATATTGCCCATTTTCAATACCAAACAAATCTTACCTATAAGAAATATTTATGTGAAATTTCAATCCTCTAGCTCTTTCCATTCGGACTCTATCGTGCTTTCAACAGACAGACAGACGGACAGACATTGCTAGATCGTCTTAGAATTTAATGAGGACCCAGAATATATATACTTATGTGGGTCTATGACTAATATTTCGATGTGTTACAAACGGAATGACAAAATCAATATACCCCCCAATCTTTTTTGATGGTGGGTATAAAAATAATAATAATAATAACAAGTAAGAAAGTATCTTCGGGCGTGTCCGACCATATGATACCCTACACCATTTATGAATATTAGATGTGATTTATTTTTCATAATAAAGCATTTATCTTGAATATTACCTTGATTAAAGCAGTTTATTGAGGGAAAACTAATTTTTTAAAAGAGGTTTTATATGGGGAATAGGTGCGGATGTGGACCGATCCAGATAAAATGGGCTGGTTAGATTTGTATTTATATAATATATGTTATTGCAATAACAGTGTTAATAAATGAATTGCGGATATTCAAGTCACTTTCTGAAGGGGGCTTTGTATGAGGCCTAGGGTCAAATGAGGTCCGATCATTTCGAAATACGGCAAGGTCATCAAGGTTTGTATAAAACTTAGCTGTGCGAACTTTCATCGAGATACATTCATATTATACATAATTATGAACTCAAAAGCCCTTTTCGGGGGTTCAGTTGTATGGGGGCTAGGTGAAATAATGGACCGATTTTAACAATTTTCGTCCTTAGGTCAAACAAACACGTATTCCAAATCGACTCAGAAAGTGATTCTGAGTCGATCGGCATACTTAAAGGTGGGTATAGTACTAATATTTTAATGCGTTACAAACATCAGCACAAACGCATAATACCCTTCCCACTATAGTGGTGTAGGATATAAAAATGTTTTCTTCTATCACCCACCACTTCCTCGCAAAATGGCATAGAATATTTTGTTATATATTACGGACATTTTATATTCATAATTAAAAAAATACTATACTCAGTGTGCTTTGTGCAATATTTAAGGATTCTAGCGCTAAAAGTTTTCCATATATGTATATGAATTTTTGTATTTAATACATATGTGAGGTACCCGTCCCCTAATGGTAGTACGCCAATTTATTACCCAAATGTTCACATGGGTATTAGTGCATTTTAGGATTTTAGCTCAAATGGTTTCAGAGATATACGATTTTTTAAATTTAATTCATATGAGAGGTTGCAAGACCCCTAATGAAAGCTCGCCCATTTTTTTTACGAAATGCTCACTTGGTTGTTAACGTATTGGCGCATAACGAAATATTATATACATATCTCAATCATTTTACCGTATAGAAATCCATACTTCAAAAATTATATAAATATTGGAATCAGCTTCATACTTCAAAAATTATATAAATATTGGAATCAGCTTTTACTCAATGTAAATTTTATATTCATTGGACTCACCTGTGCCCCGTTTTTATCGCTTAAACTTCAGTCTAAAATATATTTTTAAATATTTTAGTATTTTACAATATTATATAGCTTGCCAAAAACAAAAGACCGTCGAAGCCCGTCCAATGATTGTATTTATCTCTTAAAGGAACTTCCGAGGAATGTCTCTGCAGTAACATTGTAACCGCAAAGACCCGCCGAAATAGGGGTTTTTCAATTTAAAAAAAAAAATTAATTTGGGGAAATGTATTACTAAATCCTATTATAACAAAAAATATATATGTTAGTTAGTTAGTTAGTTTGAAAGGAGGATGTATATACATCAAATCCGAAGAAATACACCTAGGCCTCTATCGGGCCTGTTGTACGCTCCTTAACCAGTGCCTCAGGTGGGAATCGAACCCACCACCTCCGGTCTACCAGACTAGAACACTAACCACTAACCTACCGGAGGCCACCAAAATATATATAGTAGATATTTTTAAACTGCATATCTAGATACAATGACACCAAACCCACATAAAACCCACAATGGAAACTTTGTTAAAAACACGTTTTTTAATTATATAGTTTGATATATCTAGACCCTAGTGTAACTTAAAAAATAGGTAATACAGATCTTTTTAAAGATTCTATTTGGATTCAGAGACATCAATTCCATAAAAAAGAGCCTCAAATAACATTGTCTACCTATATTTTAATTTGGAACCACTGTGCACATTAGAGTGGGTCGGTCTCTATAGACAAAAAAAGTTGTGCAGTCACTCCCTAGGATTAAAGATATGTTAATAACATTTCCTAAAATATAAAAATATTTTTTTTGCCACGCCTTGAAATACCGCCCTTTTCGTTTTTTATATATCATTCATATCGTCATTTTAAGTCCGATCGTAACATATGATATAACAGTGTTTATGGCTCGACTGTAGCTACAATTCACCCTTAGACGATTTTTTAATTGAACGTAATGTTCTATACCTGACTTCTGATATATCGGATCCTTCCCCAAAATCTGAAATTGTGGCTATACAAGAATAAAGAGCATTAATTATATGAAATATTGGCTTTTGAAATGCTCACTTTTAGGCATAAACAACTATTTCATAAATATTTAAAAGTTTTCAAATATTCATTATCAACCGTTCTCACAACAAACAATTAATTTGCCAGGAAAAACAGTCGAAAACATTTTTTAATTAATTATAAAACAGAAATCCTGTTTAATTTTTTCAGTTACATCATATGGGTACAAGCCATATGGGTACGGTATTTCTAGGCGTGGCAAAAAAATATTTCTTACATTTTTTGAAATGTTTTTAACATATCTTTAATCGTAGGTGTGACTGACTCAACTTTCAGTCTTATACACAAGCTTCTAGGAAGACGTCCCAGCAATACGGAATGTGTAAATTGGATTAGAATAAATATGGCACCCACAACCCTTAATATATTTACCGACAGCCAGAAGGCAATAAAGGCAATATCACGTGATAGAATTAAATCTAAGACCGTATTGGATTGCAGGAAAACTTTAACCGAATACTCTCCCAGAGAAAGAGTTTACATCATATGAATACCAGGCCACTCGGGAGTAGTCGGCAAGGAAAGGCGAATGTAATTGCATTAAAGGGAGCTCGAGATAATTAACCTGACAAACGCAAAACCATTCGTCGCAACAAAAGCTGTGTTCAATTACGGCATAAAATATCGATCGAAATCTAAATCGTGATTTCGATAGATATCGTATGTATGTCATAATTTTGGCCCTGAATTAAAAATATGGGTGAGAGAATCCCAAAAGGCCTCTTGGAATAATGAAACGGTGGGTATAACCACGAAGATTCTATGGGGTGATCCTGATGAGAAGAAGAAGAAAAAAATCTCCTCAAAATGAGCAAGTCCGAAGTTAGTATGATGGTACGTATTCTGATGGACACACAGGATTACGAGCACATTTACATTTACGTGTGGATTCAGACGAACGTGGAGCATGTAGAGAAGACAGTGAAACTCTGGAGCACTTTCTTTGCCACTGTCAGGCATTCGTCGAAGATAGATCACAGTATCTTGGAAGTAATGTTATTCCGGAAATATCTAATATTGATTGGAAAATTCTCAGGAATTACGTCCAGGAAACTAAGTTTCTGAACATCGAAAAATAATAGATTCAGTGAACAATTTTTTCATGAAAAGGAGCGCACAACTGGCCCGATAGTGGCCTAGGTCTAATTCTTCGGATTTGATGTAGTATACATCCTCCTATCAACCTAACCTTACCTTTTAGCTTTCGTTTGTAATTTTAAAATTTTTAATTTATGTAAATTATTTTGTATTTTCTTTATTTTTTCTTGGAATCAAAATAATAAAAAATGATATTGTAACAATAAAAGGTTTCGCTATTATATCGTTCTTTGGTTTATTGGGTTATTTTAAACGTTTTGCCATTGTACATTATTATCTTCGTAATCTAGTTTTTTCTAGTTACACGAAGAGAATACTGATATGGTAAAGTTGAATGCTTAAGTTTTTTATGATTTTTATCTCTTGACAGTATTCTGATTTTTGGTGAACCTTTTTTAGAAAAATGTTGTAAGTCGTTTAGCTACTGAAGATGCTAAGAGCGGGGTTTTGAGATGGTAATCAAATGCCAATTAATAA